CCTACGCTTCATTCATCTCAGATACACAAACAGAAACAATAAAATGACAATCAAACGAAATTTTATTCATTCACAACTTTGTGTAAAGGTTCATTACAAGCAGTTCATGTACAACTATTCATTACAGCAAAAAAAAACAAAAAAAAAAAACAAAACAAAACAAAAAAAAAACAACAAATGTAAACTAATACAATCTGATTATATTGCAAAAAAAGGCATTGAACACATGAACACTGACCATCGTTCAAAAATGAATGTCATTCGATTCGTGAGCAACCTTACACTTGAATTTAATTTCAAAATATGATACAAATGAAAATAACTAACTTATACAAATTGGTTGCAACATGTTGAACATTTCAAGTGTGTGCGGTCAGAGAAGCCATTCAAAAAATAGTACGTATATAAAGAGATACAATTTTTACCAGAATTCTTAGAGAATGCTTTGCTTGTATTCACTTGGATTACATTCCTTAGATGGTTTAACCAAATGAGGCCTCCCCTTTATATAGGCAACCTACCTTTCTAGGAACAATTTAGAATATACAATTAAGGTTGTGTGTCGAATTCTCTTAGGGCATTCCACAATATTCCTACAACTATCTAAAATGTATTCTAGAGTATTTTATACAAGTTTTAGAATCACGTACAATATTCTCACAATTTCTCATGTCTTCTAGAAGGTTCTGGAATCTTCCATTAGCCTCTATTGTTTGAGCCCTCATTTGATGGAGATTTTGTATAGGCAACTCAGTGGGTCGTGACAATAAGTTATGGTGCAAATTAACTACTTTGCACTATAAATTTGTTGTTGGATGAAATATTGTCTATATGGCGGGAAGAAAGAAACTCTCTAAGTTTTAATTCATATTTTGCATGACTACAACTCTTGAAAATGATGATCATATATGTCTATGTTAGCATGCATATTATGTTTTGCGTATCTGCAAGAATGGATTGATACATTGGGTAAAGGATTGATTGGGAATTACCCTTGCTTTGCAAATTGTATTTCTTGAACCCCAATTTCACATTTGTTTTTCCTTGGGTAACTATTGTGTTAGTGTCTCCTCAGCTATTATGGTTGATTACATCTTTCTTGTATTAAGGCCATGTTTGTTTGGGTGGACATGAGCTTGGGATTGGACTAATAGTCCAATAAAATTATTAATCCGATGTTTGGTTAAACAATTGAAGTACGGATTAATTATTTTAAACTTGACTATTAGTTAAGATAGGATACATAATCCAACGGATTCGTAATCCCAGAACTATTAGTTATGGGAATGCTAATCCAATTCGCCCAAACAAACATGGCCAGCTACAATTGTTAATGGGAGAGAGAGAGAGAGAGAGAGAGGACTTCTATAATATAAACATCTCCTACAGAACATATAATAATGTTGTGGTTAAAACATTAACAGTTGAAAGAATTTAGGAAGAGAAAGAATACACTATCAACCAATTATTTAATCACATTATTATTATTAACACTAATGTGATATTGAGCACCTCCCCATTAACAAGTTCGTCAGAAAAAAATTCAACGCTTTTGTTCGCTCCATGTCTTTCCTTCAAAAAACTCGGCCAACATCCGTTCAAGATCCTCTGGAGTAAATTTGATGTACTTCTGGGGATTTTTACCATTCTCAATTAGAGGCCTAGAAGAAAAAGCAGAGTAGCACACCATCATCAAATCCACAGTTTTATTACCAACCAACCAAGGGTATAGAACTTAAAAATGAGAAAAACTTTGAAACTTGCAAGCAAGGAAGCATGAGAAAACATAACATACCCAAAACGTCTAATGAAAGATCGATAAGCAGGCAAAAGGACTTCAGCTACAGCTAGCCTCAAGGACTCGCGTAACTCACTGTCAGGAACTGTCCATTGAGATTGCCTTTGATGAAGCTCTTCAAACTGAATGTTGAATGTTTTGAACCTTTCTTTCACCATTGCCCTTGAAACTCCACTATTTCCCCCACTATCACCTCCGAACTGATTCCCACTTGATGATGAAAGCCCTTGAATTGTCAGACATTGCAAAATCTGCCAAATAACAACAAAACATCCACATTGAAGATTGAACTAACTACTTCTTAGCTTATCATCAACCTAAAAACGGGGAAGCCCACAAATGCATTTCTTGAGCTGGAAACACAGGTGACAAGCTCTTAAAAATCTCACTCATGAAGTTTAAATAAAAAAATATAAAAAATTCTGGTTGTTAGGCAACTTGATACACATTGTTGGGCCCATTTTCTAACAACTTAGGCTTTTGGAAAAATTGGTGACTTAACATTGGTAAGGTAATCCAACAATAATTGGACATCCAAACTACATTGAAAAAGCAGTATCATAATAGAACCAAAAAGAAAGCCATGCTTGGCTAAAAAAAAGGCAAAAGATAAAAAGAGAGCATAATTTAGCTAAACATCCAGGGTAGTTTCCTTGATATAATAGCACCTATTACTTCAAAACAAACAGGCACAATTATATAACATATTATTTTCTTCAGAAATATGACAGCAATTCTGTGGAAGTAATCATCTTTACTCCACATATTAGGCATCCTGAACATAATGAAACTTAATGTGCAAATAGGTGTATACATGTTATTGATACTACACATCACACCCTAACAAACCGATTTTCTGAGTGAAAGCTCAAAAGCATCCTTTGTGAAAATACCTTGAGAGCGGGAGTGTCACCAAAGTGAGTGTGTACATGTATAATATACATATATATATATATATATATGCATCAATATCTTGTGAAATGATCAATAGAAGTAATAAAATATTATTTTAATATAGCACATAGAAATGAAATATTATGCATGTTTTTAGCTGTATTAAAGATCAATAAAAGAAACAGAAGAATGGTTCCAAGGCCATGCTCTGTCAACAGTTGGAATCTATCCTCTACTTCCCCATGGTTATTGGTTTTAATTCTTCTAGCTTCTAGTTTCAATATCCTTACTTGCAAAATTGCAATGGAGAATGTGCCACCATGTGTTTCACATACAATAGTAATACAGAAATAGCTTAAGAGTTCATGAAGCAGTTGGATCAGACTAGGTCAGAAGAGATCGAATTATTGATCGAGGATGAGACCGCACTTTTGAATAGGCCTAGAATATTTTCTTTTTTCTTGCTTAACAAGAGTAAATATTTTCTTTCATTGTTTATTTTGATTAGCAAGAATTAGGTTTGTTGGTAGTTTCCTAATTTTTAGATTGCTTTTGCTCCAACATTATTTGGCCTCCAAGGCATAATTTATTTTAAATACCTATATGCCTTGGGGTGAAAATAACTTTTTATTAAAAATATTCAAAGATTCTTTTCCTTGTCCATTAGATTGTATTTGGCTCATGAATTTGGGTAGAGATTTGGAAAGATAAAAGGAAAAGGTGACTATAATATTACTATATTTCATTCATATTTCACCAACTTTTATTTTGGATAAGTAAGTCATAAAATAAAACGATAAAATATACGCATTTACATGGGGCATCCCCAGACTATTACATCACAAACTACTATCCCTATGCAACCCCACTTTTTCAAGCATAACAAGATTGACAAATAAAACTCCTTGCACATTCCACAAGGAGAAAACTATAAGAAACCATACACCATCCTTGCACCAACCTTTTCCTTTCTCTTTTTTAAATTCTTATCCAAATTCATGATCCAAACAAAGTGTCAAAATTCTTTTTTCTCATGGATTCAAGAGCTCATTTCGTATATTAGAACAATTTTTAGCTCTCATTTCGTCTATTAGAAGGATTTTTAGTTCCCGTAGAGTTTTGGTAACAGCAAAGAGCTACACTTTGCTGTGTTTCCTTTGTAGTTCTATTATTAGATCTAACAATGCCTTCAACCATGCCCTCAAAAATCTGATATACCTAAAATGCCCCTTAAAAGACCAATTTACTAAATAAAGCCATCCAACACGTTCCGAATCGATTAATTTTGGACAGTTTCGAAAGTTATACATGGTTGGCTCAGTTTCATTATACAGAAAAGACTAGTTTTATAGATGGCTGGCGGTTTTCTTTATACAAAGACAGACTAATCTGAACCAACTGATAATAGAGGCAACCAATAAATGTTAACCTGTATACATAGATATGATGATATAGGGTCTTCTCCTGTAGTATGTTGTACCTATAAACCTATAATAATATAGGTTAAAAAAATGGTACAATTCTAAAAAAAGTGTCAGTATCTTTCACACTTCTCAGATTTCAAATAAGAAGAAAAGTCTACATACTGACACATATATGATCACGATGATGATCATCAATAACATACAAAAAATTTCTAACATAAGATTAATATATTGTTTTGTCTTATTTATGTATTAAAGAATGGAGCATTCTCTCTCTCCCTTCCTCTCAGATTTCTGATTACCCTTCTCCCCTTCGTTCCTCCCCTACTTCACGAAAACATTTCACTATCGACAATGAGTTCCCTCTTTCCACAGTTGACAATTTCTACTGTCAGTGAGGCATTAACAATTGTTGATGACTATCCCTCTTTAGGTGATGGTGCTCTCCTACCCTCCCTCTCTATTAGATTTGTATGCATTTGTTTGTGTGCTGATGGGTCTCCTCTTTCCATAGTAGTTGATGTTACTCTATTTACTCTCTCTCTCTAAATTTGTATATTTGTGTGCATAAGTTACAGTGGATAAACTCAGTTGTTGAAGGCATGATCACCTAACCGAAATCAACTGGTAAACCGTATGGCCCGATGCCTTCAGTTTCAAACCGTCTCTCAATCGAGATTGGATGACCAATTCTTTAGCTTGAGCTCATCAGTTTGAGTAGCAAGTTAGAGGTGAAACAAAACCCGTGAACACCCCTACTTGTTTCCGTTGGTTTTCATTAACTGCTTTTTCTCAAGTGCAACTAGGAAAGTTTGCTACTTTCTTCACTGTAGTAGCCACCATCTTCACTTAATATCACCTCACTTTTTCAAGAACAAAGTGTTGCTTATATACTAGCTCATCATTCTAAATGTCAAGCAATCTTGTTCTTTTCTTATTTCAATATTGAGGTTGCATGATTTCATGTCTTTTTACATATAAAAAGGCCATTTTCCTAAGATTATGTCCCTTCTATTTTCTTTTTTAGCATTATTCCTTAGCTTGATATTTCTTTTACTTTCCACTTAATTGGGTTCTGGAAAACTATGCAACTAACACTCAAGAAGCACAAACACTTCCAAGAAGATGCAATGGCCATTTTGGACACCAACAATTACTAGACACTTCTCGACACGTGTTGAACACACCTTCAAACCTTTCCTATTATTTTTTCAAATTTTATTAAGAATCAAACATACTTTAGACACTTGGGGGATACATGTGTCCTTAGACACACATGAAACACATTATAAATTTGAAGAAACTACGAACAAATGTGGACAAGCTCCACTCTAGCTTGAGAAGATCTTGAAAGCATGTCAGTTCAGCTAAGCCAACCTTGACCTATCCAACACTCAACTAGACACTTAGCTTGGATCAACTCAATTGCAATAAAAAAAGATGAGATTTATATCAAAAAGAATCTTATTTAAAATAATAATAATAAACACCATGGTAAGGAGATGATGATGCATGTGATGGGTCGAAGAACAAGAGAGAAAAATTATAGAGAGAGGAACCCAAAGGATTCTAGAGAGAGAATATCTCAATATCAATCAAATGTTATTCATGAAAGTTAGTTGCAAAATAATCCACTCCACTCTAGTTATATGCCATTAATTAACTCACTAACCAACTCACATGCTTGGCACATGTCTTACATCATACTCTCACTCTTGAAAGAGCTTGTCCTCAAGTGAAGATAAAAGAAAAGTAAACAACTAATGAAGAAAAAATGAAGCACGATACTAAACTAGCAACAATACAAACTAATCCAATAAGGAAACTAGTCCTTAACAAGTTTCCAAGACTTCAATTTACCACCTCTGTTTGGCCATTAGTTTGAGAATGAAAGATAGTGCTAAAATTCAAATAGGTACCAATTTTCTTCAAAAGTTCACCAAAAGTGAGTAAGAAACTTTGCATCTCTATTGGACAAAATCGAGGTAGGAACACTATGCAACTTGTAGACTTCCTTGAAGAAGAGGTTAGCGATGTTGGTAGCATCCATGGTCTTCTTGCAAGGTATAGAATGTATTATCTTGGAGAAACGGTCTACCACCACCATAATAGAGTTACTCCGCCTTTGCATGAGAGGTAAACCCAACACAAAATCCATACTATTACATCGCTAAGGACTATCCAGCATTGTAAAGGCACATATAATCTCGCATTAGTCATAGCCCCTTTATTGTTCTGACAAATTTGACTTCGCTTCACATAGTTGCCCACATCATTGGTCATGCTTAGCCAATAATATGCATCTTGAAGCAACCCAAGGGTCTTGTCGTTACCGAAATGGCCAAACTTATGATGCTTGACCAACAAATGTGTCCTTAAGGAACAACTAGGAACACACAACTTAAGGCCATGAAAGATAAATTCATCCCTTAACATGTAACTCGGATAAGTAGCTCTATCCCCTCTTTGCAATGCAACAAAAATCTTGTGAAAGTAAAGATTCTTCACATAAAACGTATGAAACTCAACAAAACCCACAACATTATTTTTTATCTCAACAAAGAGAGTCATCCGCCTACTCAACCCGTTGGCCACCTTATTAAGAACCCCCGATTTATTTCGTAAGGAAAAATTAAATTGTTACAAATAAGCCACCCATTTAGCATGTCTTTTGTTAAGATGGGGTTGGCTAATGATGTACTTGAGGGCTTCAAGAAAGGTGTTGAGCACAAACTCTTTCTAGGCAAGGCAATAGCTCCAATGTTTGATGACTTGAATAATAGCATAAAACTCAAAGTCATAAGTAGAATACTCTCCAATGTTTGATCACTTGAATCATTGCATAAAACTCCAAGTCATAAGTATAATACTTGAGCTTAGCCCGTTCAATTTTTCACAAAAGAAGGTGATCAACTTGCCTTCTTAGCTAAGGA